CTCCCAATGTTCCCGGCACTGACAGCAGCCATTCCTGTGCTACAGAAGTGACAAAGTCTTAGAAAACACTTTTGCTGTATAACTTTGTCTCATAATTCCATATTGGCACCAAGTAAGGTCAGGGAGTTCAGCCTACTCTGAAGCCTATGCCTCTTTGCCAGTCTCTTTTTAAGAATGGTGATGGAAGCCATGGACTAGTTTCAGTGATGCATTTCCTCCAGCAGACACTTACGTCACCTCCTTGGGCAGATGTGCGAGGAGCCGTGACTCTCGAAGCATGCCTATTGTAGATCGCCAGTGATGATTTTCTAGCACGGAAACATTCTAGGGAGGAATAAAAGGAATAAATTCAAGGATTAGGCAGGTATCCATGGTACAGATTTGCCGTATCACATGATGCCTAGAGCTGGTCGGAACTGCTGTAACATGAGCCTAAAATATGTGCTTTTTAGCCACCTTTTGGATTTGAGGAATTGGTCTGGATTTCTAGAGTTAAGGGCCTTGTGCTTCTAGGTTTCCTAGCTAAGGTCAGCCCTAGAGTCCTGTTGTTCTACAGATTTTGAGTCCTGCTGTGAACAGAGGAGCTAATCTCATCTGAGTGGGAGGTAGCTTGCATTCTAACAGATTTATTAACAAATGAATTAAAGTATGAGTGCAAAATCATATTTTTACCTCCTACTGATCCCAGGTTAACTTCTCAGCTTCTACAGTTTGAATGCAGAGCAGACAAGAAAAAGAAAACTAAACTGCCCAATTTCCTTTGGAGTCAGGGAACTGGAAGCTGCCTGCAGCTGCTCAGTGAAAGCAAGAGGGGTATCAGTACAACTGAGCATCTGCAGCCTGCAGCAACTTACTTTGCAACAAATTTTGAGTCCTTTTCATTTGTTTGCTTCCAACTAAGTGGAACCAAAGTTAAACTGGAAAAAATTCCTAGGGAACACAAACCTAGCTTTCTAGGTTGTCTGTAAATTACAACAAATTAGGTATCTTGTGTCTAATGACTTTATATTACTATCCTGACACACAATGCATTTGCCGGTCATCACTCATTTTGTTCACAGAGTACTTTTTCTACCACTGAACGCCTCAGAAATGCCACTTGTTTAGAAACCTCTAACACAGTTATTCTAATTCACAAAAGCATCTGCTTGCTGCACAGAAGCAGCCCAGCAGAGCACCCCTCCAGTGAACAGCACAGTCCTCAGTTACCCACGACACCGCGCACAGCGTGAATGAGACGACTGTCACCTAGCAATAGGGACGCTCTCAGGGGAGTTACGGCATCTGATCCCTGTTTTGGGCAGTCTACGGCTTTTGCAGTGGAAAAGCACTGGATTAAAAAAAAAAAACCAACACAACCAAACCTTCTAAACAGGTAGCAGAGACTCTACCCCGTCACTGCCAGCTGGGAAATCAGAGTCCCTCTCTCCAGCCACTGTCGATCTCTGGCTCCTTTCTGCACGGTCCCACAGCTCTGAGGCGCAGCGGCATTAGTGCTGCCCTTCCTGTTGGATGTGACACGCAGGTTCCGCTTCTCCAATAGGGACCAAACAGTATTTTCTCCTTCAGGCTTCCCCATCCTCTTTTGTAATCCTGACATACCTAATGACTGTTGAAACACTAAACATTGCCAGTAACCAAGACCCAATTTGCATTTTGATCATCTTGTCTGTATTTTTCTTGAAATTTTGTGCTCAAAATTAGTGCAAAGGTGAGACTGCAAATTGGATTGGTTGCCTATTACGATATTTGCTGCAGTACATTCTGTTGCTTTTAAATTCACACAATCACTGATATGTTGCTTTGGTATTTTTTTTTGTTCTTTTTTTCCCCCTAATAGAAATCACAGA